CAATTTTTTTTTTAGATTTCTAATATTTGTATTCTCATAATTTATAGAGAAGGAAATGGTAATGCATACGATTTTTTTCTTTGTATGAGAATAGGAGGCAGAAATTACACGAGACACCAATAAGATGACAAAATTTTGAGCAGTTGTAACATATTTTTGCCTGTTGACGAAAAAAGTTAATATGATCATTGTGAAGATGAGGCGAACCAAGGCGAGGGTTGTCGACTGCTCCCTCTTCCTCCTTGATCTGAAGCTGGCAACAGGTCTCGCTTTCTCAGCAATATGTTATTGTTTGCGGTTGACTGACCGAGTTATACTCTTTTTCCCATTCTTTTCTTAATTTTTTCCAAATTACGACTGCTGGATGGTAAATTTTCCCACTCTCGATGAGTTATATTTCTTCTTTGTTTTTTACTGAGAAGGATCGCCATATACTTTCATGTATATAAAATATAATTAGAAGGGTTAATTGGTTGGACTTAGGGCATATCTCATTTGGTTGAATAATTTATCGTTTTTCTTGAATGCCTATTGCAACCCGATTTCTTGAATGTTGAAATGGAAAGTAGAGTTGTGATGATTGTTTATTATATTTTATGTTCATGATTGACATGCTACTACCAGCTAGCTATACAATGATGATCTGGTTAGTAATTAGTAGGTAGCAAAGTGGTTATAAGTATTCAACGAAAAAAAAGTGGTTATAAGTAGAAGAGAACATAATTGGGGTTTTATAAAGGTCGCGAAGAAGAAAGAAAATGATAATGGTGGTTTCTCGGTTGTCTATTTCGATATTTTTTTAATTTCTACATGTTTGCGGTGACATTTGTTTGTTTCATTAAGGTGAATTTTTCTGCATTGAATCCCTTGATTGTTTTCTTACAAACTACTATTTGGATTGATGCATATATTCAGTTCACAAATGAGGAATCTGAATGATAAAATGAGTTGAGTTGTATTTAAGACGGCTCCTTTCATTGTTTGTCTATGTTGTTATTAGGTAATAAAGCACAATTCTTTTCTGCAGGAGATATGTAGCTCTCTACAAAATATAAATTATGTTTAATTATATGCAGTTTAATTTGCTAAAAATATTGCTTTAATAAGTTAGTGACAACTGATAGTTTTGTTTGTGGTTGGTTTTGCTAGACCATTTCAAGGTAATTAAACAAGTACGTGGAAGATTGATGGACGTGGATGCTAATGAGTTTCCTCATTATTCCAAAATTGTATGTGTAAGTGATAATATATGATATTCATGGGATTTAGATCAGAATATTCTCTATTATCATATACCGACATATGAGAAGGGAGAGAAAATAAAAAGCTCTTCCCTTATTTTTTTTATTAATTGAAGCATATTTTCTTATTCTAACTTCTTCTTTTGTGTCCGTAAGTTTTTTAACTTCTTTATCACAATTATGTGCTAAAGAATGAATAATCTCTTATGTTTATAATCTTAAAGGGCGAGTTCGATAAAAAAAATTCTAAATCAATAAAGAACCGTCTACAAAGAGCTTAGTTAATAAAATTAAAATGTTCATAAATAAACAAAAGGTATAAAAGTATGAAATAATACCTGAAATAGGTAAGTGAGATTTACAATTCCATGTATATTACCTTAGCAAACATAAATAATAATAACAATTAGAATACTACAACGAATTATAAAACAACCAAACAAAATACACCGCCCAACGGGCGGGTAAAAAACTAGTTTCATTACTTAATTGACATTCGAAAAAAAATCCTTAATTAACATGTCTTATTCCATAACCCACGTCTAGGTTCAATTCCCTAATTAACACGACTAAGCCCATGAAATGGAAATTTTTTATTATTAAAGACAATCCAAAAAAATCACTTAATGAAACAATACGTGGGTATGGGTTCAAATAATTATTTATTGATTTGTATTTTTTACCCGTAAAAGGCTTCAATGACTATTTTTTTGGGTTTGATTGATCGAAGAGTCATTTGGGGCAGAAATAAAGGAGTTTGTTGTGTTAAATAATTATAAAACAAAAATACTAATAATTCTGTAAATTGAAGGAGTTAATATTGATTTAGGAAGTTCAGAGTTAAATGATGGAATGTAACGAATTAATAAAATAAAAAAAGACTAATAGTTGGGCAAATTAAACGGGATCGATGGCGGATCCAACTCTAACCCCATAATTATAGGAATGTTTCCGTTAAATTGATTATATTATAAGATTTATGCCTTTTTTTTACGATAATTAATCTTGCCTAATTTGTAGTTAGAGTTTATGTTGAATTACGTGGCCCTTTTTTGCGGTAATTACTCAAAATAAAATATTACATAAATGTAAACTAACAGGGCTGTCCATTGTGTGGCGAAAACGGCTCTTGCATCTGTGAATCAGCACTTGGCTGATTACTGCTATTTACTTTTCAACTCTTTGTATTTCCCTATCTATTAACTATCTACCTAAGTAAAAAAAAAAAAACTTATAACTTATACCATAAACAAAACTCTCCTATGTCTCTTCCCCGTTTCTCAGGCCACTTTTATCAGGGAATCGGACGGCGAGGAATGGTCCGCCCGCCGGCTGTGATGGTTTGGTGCTGATCGCGGTGGTGATCTGGCGGTGGTGGCGACGTCGGCGGTTTGGCGGCGGTGGTGATCTGGCGCTGGTGGCAGCAGGTAGGGCTGGAAGTTTGGTACCGGTATTTGGGATATACCGAATACCGTACCGAATTTGTCTATATTTGGTATTACCAAATACACGTATTATTTCTTGGGATTGGGATTGGGATTGAATTTCAATTGTTATTCGGTATTAGGGATTGGGATCGGGATATACCAAAATACCGATCAATACCGAAATATAAGCTAGTTTGTATTTTATCCTCTCAACTAAACTCTCTCATTTACTACTAAATGACCCTCAACCACCAAAAGTGTCATTTAATTATACACAGATCATTCCATCATTATTAATAGTCGTCGCTCAACCTCTAATTCGTCAAATTAAAGATTATCAATAACAAGAACTTGAGATGTCTCCTCTCCTCCACTCTCCATAATAATATCCTAATTCAAAACTCTTTGCTTAGTCTTTTTCCCGTAAATTAAACAATAAAATCTCATTTTTATATATTTAATTATTAATTGCAAAGGTAATTAATTTCGTATTTGATAATACCGATTGGGATACCGAAGTACCGATTGGGATACCGAAATATTTAGGGATTGGGATTGGGATACCGAAATTATTTAGGGATTGAGATTGGGATTGACTTTAGGGTGTAATTTGGTATTCGGGATTTCGGTATTTGGTATTGGGATACCGATACCGTACCGATTTCCATCCCTAGCAGCAAGAGTGGCGGGGCCGACGATGGTCTATTGTCGGCGACAGTGGTGATCGCTGGTGGAATGAGATTTGTGTTATAAATAAGGGTTAATACCTTAGTTTGGCCTGAAGTTTAGCGTAAATGTCAGTTTTGGCCCGAGTTTTTCAGTAAGACGTTTATGGCCCACTTTTCAAATTAATGGACGAATTTGGCCTCGAATTTGAGTTGACTGTTAAAACTAACAGTCAAACATTTATTCTGTCAACGACTCAGCATTTAGTGTTGAGGTGGAAGTGACATGGCTGCCGCATCATTTATATTAATGTAAAAATTTTGAAAAGCACATAAAAAATAAAAACAAGAAATTGAAAATAAATAAAAAAACCTAAAAGAATAATCCAAGCAGAGGAAGATCGGGGTTGAATAATCCCTCTTCTAATTCCCCACCAAGCTCCAAACCACTCAATCCCTCCTCACTGCCGGCTCCGCCAGCGTCCGCCTCACGATCCCGCTCCACCACCGGCTTCCTCCATTTCTCCAGTCGATAATCAAACCTCGACGCATCTTATTCTTCCTCCGCGTTGCTATCGAGAGGGAACTTGAGAATCGATCTAAGGCGCCTCTCATCTCGACATCCCGAATAACTGCTCCGGCGAAGATGAGCCCGAGAAGGAAGATGCCAAGAGCGGTCGATTGAACAATCGTCAGTCGCCGTTTTGGTTTGAGGGACGGCGACCACAGTCGCCAATGCCAACGACGGAAGGAGGTCGATGAGGTGGGGAAGAGGAAGGGAATAGGGGTTTCGACAAATTCAACCCAATCTGCCACTTCTCCACCGCAAAATTCAACAACCAGCTACCACGATCCTTCTTCACGATGCAATTGCTCTTCACCGGAATAGTGGAAGAGATGGAAAAATCAAGTGGTTGGGGACAAACGGAGACGGTCTCCGGTTCGAGCTCCAGATCTGAGTGAAAGCAGTCCTTCGGGAGTCAACCTCGGGGACATCACCATCAACAGTACTTTCCTGATGGTTGACGGAGTTCACCGGCGAAAACTTGATGAAGTCGCAAACGAAGTTGGTGCGGCGCGGCAAGGAACATGGGACGATGATAACCATGGCGGCAGGGAAGGTGAGGCTGTGGGGATAAGGAAGGGAGGGTTTTTTCTTTCCCATGGATTTTGTTTTTCAATTTTTTTTTTGTCTTAATTAAGTAATGATGTGGACGGCGCCACATCGGCAGAAGATGCTAAATCACAGACGGAAAAAAATGGTTGACCGTCAATTTTAACGGTCAATTCAAACTCGAGGCCAAATATGTCCAATAATTTGAAAAGTGGGCCATAAACGTCTTATTGAAAAAGTCGGGCCAAAACTGACACTTACGCTAAACTTCGGGCCAAACTATGGTATTAACCCTATAAATAATGGACAAAAAATAAAAATATCATTTTAATTTAATTTACGGGCGGAAAATAGTATGCCTCCTTACTAAACCGGCTTGACAGCTATTGCGTCCATATCGGATAGACGGGACCGGGGAGTTGGTGTGAGGTGTGACCAATAAGCGGAACGGGTCTGTCTGCGAGCCGTGACCGAGTGTGACTGAGAAGTTTTCTATCCCTTTTTTGTTTCATTTGGCAGAGTTGATTGATTCTTTGCTGGTCGGGTGCAGAAACCAGAATCAGTAAGCTCTTGTGAGAGCGAAGAAGAAGGAAGATGCCGTGCCTCAACTTGTCGACGAACGTGAGCCTTGATGGCGTTGACACCTCCGCCATTCTCTCCGAAGCAACCTCCACCGTCGCCAACATCATCGGCAAACCTGCTTCCGTACGACTTCCCTCCCTCCCTCGACCTTCTATTTTCACCTTTCATTTAGCTTCTCTTTCTCCTGTTAAAGCTAATTGATCATCTATCGAGCTCCCTAGCTGTAGGAATATTGCTCGGTGACAGTTAATTTGCTTATGCTTTCCTTGTTGCCCTAGAAACCGTTCTGTTCAGCTTCTGTTGTTGTTTCGACCTTCGAGCATCTGTTCAGTCTCTCCTAAGTTCCTCTGTGCAGAAATTCGATTTAGGTGTGATGAAGTTGAACTAGAATTTCGATCTATGTAAACCGATTGAGATTCTCACCAGTAAGTGCTTATGGTGATTTGGCGAGCCTTGGGTTCAAGTCCAGAATGGCCCAACTTAAGCTTTCAACACAAACTGTTGGTAACATACAAAGAGTGAAAGGATTGTTGCTAGTTTGGAAATGGCGGATTCATATAAAGTTAATAGTTATTAGCTTACAAACTATTGGAATTCGGATTGATGTTGAAGTTGTTCCCTAATATCGTTTACCCGCTTATTAAGTTGGCATACGTATCTAGGGTTCATATATGCAGTTATTTGTATTGTGGTTTGTTTCTATGTCCCTTAGGAGGTCTGGAGAAAGATATGATTGTTACACACTCATACGTGACATGTTAGTTAATGTAGGCACTGCTTGTTTTGGTTCCTTCTTTTATCTCAAGTTATCATGGGGATTCAGTAATAATTGAGCTGAGCTTATAAGGGTTTGTTCATACGCTATGTCCCTTCGCTGCAGTAGTAGCTTTGTCTGTTGCAGGTATCTTTATTGTTTGGTGATGAAACCATAAAGAGAGCAAAACGGAAGTTCGTAATATTGGCAGTCATCTATATCATGTATATGTAAAATACTATTGATGCATACAGATTTGTTGGGTCAAAACCTTACTGTGAGCAAGTGATGATTTAGTTTGGCAGCTACATAATACGTAAACTACTCTATCTTCGACTGGATCTTCTTTTAAGTTTTAACCATTGTTCATGTGCTGTGCAGTATGTGATGATTGTTTTGAAGGGCTCAATCCCTATGGCATTTGGTGGGTCTGAGCAACCAACTGCTTTTGGTGAGTTGGTTTCAATTGGTGGCCTAAACCCCGACACCAACAAGAAACTCAGCGCTGCAATTGCTGCTATTCTCGAGACCAAGTTGTCGGTTCCCAAGGCGAGATTCTTCCTCAAATTTGTTGACTCCAAGGCAAGCCACACTCAACTTCTTACAAATTGAGAGAAGATTGGATGGATCTTATTTCCCCATGCACATATTCTCATTTGCATTCTTTCGTGTCTCTGTTTAGGCGCAACAAACTCCAGATTTTGCACAATGTTTGCATGCTTTACACCAGCATTAGATAATGTAAATCAAACCCCCTTTTTGGACTATTTGTTTTCAAACTGTGCGCACGGCTATTTTACTTCCTTCCAGGATCAGATACATATACGTTCATTCTTCATTCGGCTTAAAACATTGAAATCTTGTTTTGCTGTTGCTGATCAATGCTTGTGGTGCCCCTTTCTTGCAGGGTTCCGACTTCGGATGGAATGGTTCTACCTTCTGAAATCTACTCCTTGTGCAACCTGTGTTCACACTCGTGATGTGTGTTGGGTGTCAGCTGCCTGGACTTGGAATAGGAGTGGAGTTTATCATCCCGTAATATGGTCTGCTTTTTCTTATGGAATATGAACTAGAGAATAAAGAAACTTGATTCGCGCCTTTGCATTGTGTCTTTGTCTGACATTGTTCTGGAACTTTATGTTGCCTTGGTTTACAATATATCGAAGTAAACTGGAAAACTGTATCTGGGAATGTTAACCAGCAGCGAGCTTCAGTTGGACTCCAGCTGCAGACCAAGCCGATCGACTATTCGACTTCCCATGGTTAGGGCTGTCCGTTCGGGTTGGGTTCGGTTAACCAAACCAAAACCCGACAAAACCCAAAACCAAAATCACTGGAAACCGAACCCAATAAGGACTTTTGGTTTTTCATTACCCGAAACCCGAAAAATCCTTATCGGGTTCGGGTTTAGTTAAAGCAAAATCGAAACACGAAAACTCGAAAGCCTAAGAATACGGGTTGAGTGCTAATTCTTCGATGTTTTCAGCCGAAACCCGAAAAATCGATAAGCAAAACCGAATCCAAAACAAACTCGAACCCTAAAAACAAAAAATATATCTAATCGGGTCGGTTTCGGGTAAACCCGAATGGACACCCCTACCCATGGTTTAAACTCCGCTGTTTTTTTTGTGTTATTTATTTATTTAATGAACAACCAAAGTTGTTGGCAGGCATTCTGGGCTCGCTGCATTGTTGGATGGGCTGTGGGCTGTGGCCCGTGGGACTAAAATATAGGGCTCTTTTGTAGCTCCATCATCAAATCCTATTGCTTAGTGCGTGTTATAAAATTTGAGCCCTTGTTGACCGAAATGGCAAAAAGTCAGGCCGACTTAGCTTCAGGATTAAGGAACTTGCAGGCGAAGCCTCTTCCTCGCTTTACTTAGCTGACGTGTTAACATACTATTGGCGGATAAACGCAAGCGCGGGCCGATACACGGAAAGAAAGACGAAACTTACAGTAGTTACCAGGAACGGGGCATTGAGGTCCGTACCGTAGTTAACCCGCTGCCTGCCTCCTTTTGTTTTTATAAATAATAATAAATTCGGCTAATAAAATCTCCGGTATTCCGTCCTTTTCTGCCACCGTCCTCTCCTCCGCTGCTTCTCGTTTAAAACGTAAATCGAAGCCCATTGGGGGAAAGAAAAACAAGATTAAGAGAGGAAGGCCAAAGTCCCCAAATTGATTTGAGTGAGCCAACGTAACGAAGGAAGCACCACCGTGAAAAACACGATTTGTGCTTCCCTCAAATCAATTTCCTCTCAGCCATGGCTGCTCCATCTCCCCCCATCCTCCCGATCTCGAATTCCCAATCCGCCGTCACCACTACCACCGTTCCTTCCGCCGCCGCGTCTGCCCAATCCCAGCCTCCGATCGCCACCCCGGCCTTCCGCTCCTTCATCAACAAGATCTCCGACACCGTCCGCAACGGCCTCTCGCAGCGCCGCCCGTGGGCCGAGCTAGCCGATCGATCCGCCTTCTCGAAGCCGGAGTCCATGTCCGAGGCCTCCCTCCGCCTGCGCAAGAACTACGCCTACTTCCGCGTCAATTACCTGGCCGTGATCGCCGCGATCTTGGCCTTCTCCTTGGTCTCGCATCCGTTCTCGCTCTTGCTGCTGGTGGGCCTCCTGGCTTCCTGGATCTTCCTCTACCTCTTCCGCCCCGCGGATCAGCCGCTGGTCATCTTCGGCCGCTCCTTCACCGACATGGAGACCCTCGGCATCCTCGTCCTGTTCAGCGTGGTCGTTGTTTTCCTCACCAGCGTCGGATCTCTGCTCATCTCGGCTCTCATGGTCGGGGCGGTCGTTGTGGGCGCGCACGGCTCGTTTAGGGTTCCGGAGGATCTGTTCTTGGATGAGCAGGAGCCTGCCACCACCGGATTCCTATCGTTCCTCGGTGGCGCCGCCACCAATGTCGCCGCCACCACCGCCGCTCGCGTCTGATCCCGCTGCCGACGACGAATCTGATCCTCCATCGGACGGTTTTTGGGTAATAGGACTGGGTCGATCCATTCTTTGATTTTCTTCTGTTTGAACATTTTAGATACATATATTCGATGATAAGAATTGTGATTACAGGAAAATAAAGTAAAATGAAAACTCTTTCTTGTTTCTATTCAGGTTGATTTTATTTGATTTTCATCTGGTCTCTGTTCTTTTGGCTCTTATTATTTTGGATTTGGTCTTGTGCATAGATCCCTATAGCAAAGCTTATTGGCTGCTGTTTTGGATGTAAAATGGATGTACTTACTTCCCCTCCCTCTCCCTCTCCCTCTATGGTCCATGAATTCCATTTCTGTCTCTCAGTTTACAGATCAAATTCAATGTCTTCGGGAAGGGTTCCAGAAAAGCAGATCACTTCTGTTTGAATTTCTTCCTCGCATATCTGTAGATCTGGGCACCACGTAAACACTTTTCAGTTGAATGGGATTTCCAGAGTTTCTTTACTGTCATCAAGATATGCTATGAAACTGAAGAGCAGTGTATATTGGTTCATTTTCATTTCGACGTATTACAAATGCTATGAAAATTGAGAAAGTCTTTTGGTCCTGCAACTAACTAAAAGCCTCCTGCATTCGTAAAAAAAGGTTAATACCTTGTTATGGCATGAACTATGACCATGTAATTAACTTTGGCCAGTGGTTTGATAAATTAACATCCTGGCCCGAATTATGCAGCATATAGACAAAATTGGCATGGAGCATGGTTTGACCTTGGTTTGGACGGGCAACACCGTTGACCGTTAGTCAACTGTCCAGGTCACTGCCATGTTAACAGAAAAAATTATAATTTCATTTTTCTTTTTATTTCATTTACAAAATTGAATAATTAAAAAAAAAACTTTTGGCCCACCCAGCCCCACCTTATCCCCTCACCTTCTTTCCTTTTCGATCAAACCCAAACAAACCCTAACCATTATTCTTCTTCCTCCTTCTTCCCCGACAACTCGCCGCCTCCATTCTCTGCGTGGTCTGATTCTGTTGGGAATTTGAATTTGAATTGTTCAAAATCCATCTCATCGAGTGGAGGAGTGGGCCCTCGTTCTGCCTCACGAGAAGCTTCGTGGTGGTTTCCGGCGTGTGGTTCCACACGAGATTCGGAACTCTAAGCGCGTGCTCCATACCTCCGGTGGTACGGAATTCGGGGTTGAGGACGAGGGAGACCATGGCCTTGGCGGCGCCGGCGTCGGCGATGGTGGCGCGGTTGCGGTCGCTCTCGGAGGCCAGGCCGTCGAGCTTGAGGAGCGCGTGGAGGGATCCCAGCGGCGGCGCGTGGTGGAGGATTTCGCGGAGGAGCTTGGTGACGTGGGACTTGGCGAGTGGGGATTTTGGGGTTGGGATCCGGCTGACGAAGTTGAGGGTGCACCAGGCTTGGATGAGGCGTCGGAGCGTGTGATTGGGAGTGAGGTCGGCGGTTCTCGGGAGCGGCTGTTTGGAGACTGGGCAGACGGCGGCAGTGGAGGAGTTCTGGAGCCATTGTTCGATGCTGTCGCGGTCGTAGGTGATGCCGGTGATGGCGGTGACTGGATATTTCATGATTTGGAGGGAGATCGACCATTTGAAGTCGGAGAGAATGGAGGCGGCGGCTCGTCGGGGAAGAAGGAGGAAGAAGATGGAATAGGGTTTGTTTGGGTTTGATCGAAAAGGAAAGAAGGTGAGGGGATAAGGTGGGGATGGGTGGGCCAAAAGTTTTTTTTTTTTTAATTATTCAATTTTGTAAATGAAATAAAAAGAAAAATGAAATTGTAATTTTTTTATGTTGACATGGCAGTGACCTGGACAGTTGACTAACGGTCAACGGTGTTGACCGTCCAAACAAACGGTCAAACAACGCTTCAGGCCAATTTTGTCTATATGCTGCATAGTTCGGGCCAGGATGTTAATTTCTCAAACCACTAGCCAAAGTTGATTACATGGTCATAGTTCAGGCCATAACAAGGTATTAACCCTAAAAAAACATCAAACAGAGCACCTTCGGAAACTGAACTCTCCTGTGGGAAAGCATGCAACGATCCATTGCTGTCTCTGAACGAGAATATACCAAACGGTATTCGACAGAAGTAATGAACAGGTCATCTGAAAATTAACATAGAGAAGAAAGCAGCTGAAAAAACATCAAACAGAGCACCTTCGAAAACTGAACTCTCCTGTGGGAAAGCATGCAACGATCCATTGCTGTCTCTGCACGAGAATATACCAAACGGTATTCGACAGAAGTAATGAACAGGTCATCTGAAAATTAACATAGAGAAGAAAGTAGCTGAAAACCATAAACTAGGACATCACAAAAAGGAAAAAAAAACCCCTGCTCCCCTTTACATTTTTGGCCCAGGAGAAATAAAGATAGTTGTTACAGAATACACGAGGACAAAAAAAAAACCCAGCATGCCTCCTCATGATATGGCCCTCCTACCTACCTGAGAATCCAAACCGTCCATCGGAAAACAGAAAACACAAGTCTAGGGAGTTTTGGAAGGTGTGATTATTCAAATTGATGTATTGAGGTAATTAGTGTATCATCATTTGACGTATTGAATTAATTGATGTATTAGGAAAATATCTTGTTTGGAGGTTTAGATTATGGTTTGTTGTAAAGCCACAAAAGTCCATTTTGAGTGATTGAAAAGAATCTCAATAAAAAGTAGAGATTGATAATCTCTCAATTATGAGTGATTGTGATGGGGCCTCCAAAAAGTTAATCCATGTATTCTAGTTCAATATAAGAAGAAAAAAAGGCTTAATCTCACAAATACATGAATTAGCTCAATACACTATTTGAAATCACAACTTCCAAACGACCCCAAGTTCCGGGTCTGGACGTAGGGGCCTTTTCTACTATACTTTCGAAATATAAATTAAACTTATACCATAACATTAGAGCTTGAGTTTTATCATAAAAGAAATTGTTTCTTCTACAAGTTCAGTTTATAGTTTGTACTATAAAGGAATTGGGTGAATAGTAAGGTTGGTCACTGAGATTATTAAAAAGTTTCACATTTGGTCACTAAAATTATTTTATTCATTTGTGGTCTTTAAGATTAGTCAAACCGTCCAAATTTGGTCACTCTCTGTTACCTTCTGTCATTCTCCATTAACACCGTCAGTTTTTACCAGAAGGTAACAGAGAGTGACCAAATTTGGGGAATTTTACCAGAAATACCACCATTAAACTATAAAATTCCAAAAATATCACTCTTTTCGTAGAAATTTCATTTATACCACCATTTGATACAAACCGCATGGGGAAATCACGGTTTACACAGGAACCCCTCGGAGGGGAAACAGTTTCCATTAGGGCGGCCGACAAAATGTCTGGCCACGCCAATGTCTCCTAAGCCGTCGAATGAATAAGCGATCTGCTGACGGACTGTTTGCCAGCTCAGTAGTCCGCGTCTTGGATGCAGGAACCGCTCCCTCCCAACACGGTTTATATTTGAAATGTGAAAACCGTTGGCGGGGGAGGCAGTTTTCGTTTGAAGTAAACAGATGATTGGCCATATCTAGAATGACCTCTATCAACTTCGGCCGCCTCGATGTAAACAAACATCTCTGCTTTAGATATATTATTCGCATTCAAAAATCCGAGCATGGCATCAACTTCCTCCTGGGTGGTTATGAGAAATTTATCATGCTACAACGACCTGCCTTGTCTGTTTGAATACCAATACACTATACAATCAACTCTTCTCGTGTCCTCCATGCAAGTGACCGTAGTACACATTCGACGGAGCTCGTCAAGATTCGGTCTCGTAGAGACCTTCACTTTATGAAAAGCACCACTGACGTAACGTACCCCCTTTCCAGTCTCTTCCGTGCAACCATACCACCGTAACCTAAGTGTGAACTTTTGGAATGCCATATGCAATAAAAAGTAATACAAAAAAAAACTTACGAGGTAAGGTTATTCGCAAAATTTTTAAAAAAGTAAGGAGCAGAACATAAAATTTAAAGAAGAAGAAGGAAAGGGTGTGAAGAGCTTAGGTTTCCGTATCCTCCTTTTATAGGCAAAATGTCCAATAAAAACCGCTGTGGGAGGGGGCCGTTTTCACCTGACATGCAAAATCCTGCATGCCGACATGTCGGTTGTTGGGGGATGTGCATGGCATACAAACCGCCACCACCCCCAGCGGTTTGTATGTCAACAACGCAAACTGTCGGGCAGGCAGCAATTTCTCTTGCCAACCTAGAACCATCTGGCCTTCATGCGGTTTGTTATGGACCAGCCATGAAACCGCCCCCTGCCCCTGCGGTTTTGTCCCCAACATAAAACCGCTGCCCTACCATGCGGTTCTTTTGGAAACCGCTGCCCCCTATGGTGGTTTATGTGAAAGGGTGGTATAAATGGAATTATTTCGATAAGAGTGGTATTTTTGGAATTATTTAGTTATAAGGTGGTGTTACTGGAAAAATACATAAATAATTTTAGTGACCAAACGTGTAACTTTTTAGTAATCTCAGTGACCAACCTTACAATTTACCCTAAAGGAATTTGTACAAAAATGTATAGGTACAAACTAAAGTTGTACTACAACGGTAACAATACAAGTTCAATTTGTAACACAAAAAAATTTGTACAAAAAAGTCTCGACGTGCGTGTACCACTTCAATAACTCAACATTGTGGTGCTTTAGATAAGTTAGATGATAAGTAGATGGATCAAATGCGGTGGATGGACTCGCACACATTGAGGAGCGGGGCACGGGTGGTGGTGAATGATGGTGTAGTTGCTTCAGAACCTCTTGATCTTGAATAACCTACTCCACATCATGTGGCACATCTGCCATATCGACACCCCCCGCATACCCAAACTGGCTCTAATGAGGACGAAAATCACAAATCCACAGCCAACTACGACCCTCCACAATCAGGTCTATAGAAACAAGAGTGTCCACATGCAAATGGATGGTGTGAGTGACAAGGTGATAAGGGTCGATGGCGGCCTTG